AATATCAATTTTGAGTGAATAATCTTCAGTAGTTACTAAAATATCGCAGTTTTCGTATTTCTGGAAATTACCGTTATATGGGATGTGGGCGTGGTTACAGTCCGATTTCGCCCATTTTCAATACCAACCTACCTTGGATTAACAGCAACCTACGTACCAAATTTCGTTGAGATATCTCAATTTTTGCTCGAGTTATCGTGTACACGGACGGAGGGACAGACGGACAGACGGACGGACAGACAGACATGGCTTAATCGATTTCTCTATTCATTCTGAACATTTATGTATACATTTGTCTATATCTATCTCGATCCGTTTTGGCTGTTACAAACAACCGTTATGTGAACAAAATTAATATACCCTTGTGCACAAGTGCGCTCGGGTATAAAAACACTTCGGAGAAAAAAGTTTGAAAGTAAGATGAATTTTTTAAGTGTTCTACAAAATCTTTAGCTTAGGTTTATATGGTACTTGTTAGGGAATGAGCTGTATTTTAATTGATTTAAAAATCGTAAAAATTAATAAATAAACATAAGTGGCAAACAATATGTATCATTTTGAATTTGGTATAAAATGACATGTCCAACTTTGACATTTTAAACAATTTAATTCTTTTAAGAATGACATATATTTTTTTTAATAAGGTTTTTCTTTACTTGTTTATGTGCATAAATAATGCTACGATTTTGGTTTCAAACTATGTATACTTCATTAAATTTTGTTATTCAAGTATTTATATATGTTAACAAGAAGATGTAACTACATCAGTAATAATGTTCGCATAAGTACCCGCATCGAGGTACTTAAGCGGGTTCTTTTAAGTACCCAACCTGCCTATGTAAGTACCTCAAAAAGCTGGTATTTTTCGTGTGGTACTTAAGCGGGTTTTACTGTAGTAGAATCTATGTAGCGTAAGTGGAATGTGCATACATATGTATGTGTGTATTTAGTTGGTTTATAATTACTTTTTACAACGAAGTCAAAGCACACTCATCTGCGATCAAAAACAGTTATAAGCAAGTAAGCGTATACCCGTTTTTTAAGAGTATTTCTAGTACTGCGAGCACATAGCTGTTTTTGATCAGTTCTAAACCAAAAGAGATATAAGAAAACGGCAAATGCAGAAATGTGGCCAGTAGATAGTGTTAGTAAAATATACAATACAAAAAATTTACAAAAATCACATAACTGCTTTTGTTGGCGCAGCGACGATTTTTAAATTAAATTCTAAAATTATTTTTGGAACGTTTTCGATTTTGAAATTTAAGTAAACCATTCGGTACAGTATAAAACTTCATAAAGTTCAATTTGTTTTCAAAAATATTAATACGACTTTTAGTGGCACGCTTCCAATGCACGGAAAGGGTTAGTTTATTGTTTTTTTTGTCCCGAAGATTTACTGATATTTTCATTTATTTCATACTAGCAGACCCGGCGAACTTCGTCCCGCCCAAAATTTTTATATATTTCATTGAAACTTTTTGGTCCAACATTTTCACCAACAATTCACGTTTACGATTTTCATTGGCACATTTGTCTGCTAAGATTAAGGTTTGGTGGTCATTTGCCGCTTTAAATAACCTAAGGAAAGTGTTATATCCGTTCTTGAAATTCTCCAGTTGTGCGGCATTTCATAGCACGGTTATCCGCAAAGCGAAATAAATTTTTTCCTCTTCACTCCCTGGCCGCAACAATGACCCGGTTCTATAGTGAATGTCCTAGAAGCTTTACAGTATAGTAGGTGGCAATTTCAAATGGGTGCGAATCATTGTTCTACAGAAATGCAATACACATATGTGACCTGGTCTACGGAAAGGCGGCTTAGGTGTCAAAAAATCAATTTTCACTTTTTGGTTGATTCGGATGGAAGATGAGATGCTTTTTCACGTGGTGAAAAGCAGAAAATCCTAACTTGCTTAGAAGTACAAAAACGTCACTTCTTCAGTGTTACTTTTTTAAATGTTCCACACTAGCAACTTACACGATGAACTATAATAATATTCCGACCAACAACAACACTTACTGGACCAACAACAACACTTACTGGACCAACAACAACACTTACTGGACGTCCGGCGCGGAGAATGCTTAATGAGATAATGAGAAACTGACGAAACGAGTTGCTTACTTTTAACAGCTTTTTCACAGAAAACTAGTTTTCGCACGTAAGCTCCCTTTTCGTAGACCAGGTCACATATACTTATTTCAGACGAAATACCTTAAAAGTTTGAACGCGTAATAATATTGGAAAATCACATCCATTGGGCCAATTGCAACGCAGGAGCGTTCGATATACTCAATGGTGCGACAGGTCGATTTAATCTGACCTTCACGACCCCTTTTCTCACTTGGCTATTTTTAGTAATAGCTGGACTTCAGCACCACTTGGCAGCACGTTTTTGAAGTAGTATTGCATACATATTTAAAACATTAGCCAAATCGGATCATAAATAAGATTTTTAGTAATAACTCAACTACAGCGCCAACTGTCGGATTAAATTGTGAAACTAAACCATCCAGAGACCCACTCAAATACACAAAAAGTTTCGTTAAAATCCGTACAACCATTTAGGAGGATTTCACTCACAAACACACCTACAGAAGAATAAAAAAATTCATTCAAAGATAGCTAAAGGTCGGTACGTTTGTAGGCCTCACACCCCTTTTCAAATAGCCCAAATTTTCTCCATGTGTATGGGCTTGATTTCAACTATATACATATCTCCATACGAAGTTCCGGTACTGTGCCATGAATACTTTCAGAGATATGCAGTATAAAAATTCGATTTATATGGGAGGTTCCACGCCCCCCTTTCCAATAGTTCCAATTTTTCTCCAAGAGTATGCGATTTATTTCGTACATCTCCCTACAAAACTCTAGAACTCTACCAAAAAATTTGCAGAGATAAGCAGTATGAAAAAATCGGATTGTAGGGGAGATGTCACACCCCTTTTTACAATAGCTAAAATTTTTCTCCAAGGGTATGCGATTGATTTCGTATATCTCCATACCAATTTCCAAAACTCTACCATGCACACTTTCAGAGATATGTTGCATGAGAAATTCGGTTTGTATGGGAAGTGCCACGCCCCCTTTACATATAGATATTTTTCAGCCTAAAACCATCCTTGGGACACGTGCGGCAGGTGGCAGTTTCAAAAAAAGCGGTTCAGCCGCTCTCGAGCCTTGCGAAAACTAACAAACGGCTTTCTAAATATGTATTAGTTGAGATATATTATATATTAGAATTATATTTTGACAGTATCCGTTGTTTCTGATTGGCGCAAAAAAATCTTGCCTAGTGCCGAATTCGCCCCTTGATA